TACATCCTGCTAAAAAAAAAAAAAAAAAAAAAAAAAAGGTAGCTAATTTTGGCCACATTTTAATCAGTATACCACAAGCACAACCAAAGTCCAATTTTGCCCCAATCATGCTTATGTTACCTTATAGAAGGTAGGATTTATGCAAGGTAGAGATTATTCTGCAAACTAAGATATTATCTACATCTGACTAACTCACCATCAGTATATTACCTATAGTTCCTAGTTGGTGAGATGCAGGCAAAGGGATGCTAGCTTGCAGGAAGTCTTTAGATTAGAGACCCTACCTTGAATGCACAGGATGCAACCCATACACTGCATGAAAGATTGAGTGAATGAATGGAAGAAAATATTTCGATTTCATATGGTAGAGCTCCTTAGACATATATTTATATTCATGTGAATCTCAAAAATATTTAGTTGTGAGGTCTTTTGGCAATATTGTTAGGCCATATGTGGCTCAGGATCTATCCATATAATAGGTCCGTGGTGGCGAACCTATGGTACATGTGCCACAGGTGGCACGCAGAGCCCTCTCTGTGGGCACGCGCACCCTCGTCCCAGTCCTAGGCCTTCAGCTGGGTTTTATAAAACCTTTTCGCTTTAGGCCTCCGCCGCCGTGTGCAAAAAAAAAAAAAGGTTCAGTCAATCAATTTCAACTTCTTGCGGGGAAAAAAAAGATCTTGCAAAGTTGGAATTGATTGATTGAACCTTTTAGTCCCACCCAGTCTGCCGTTACCATTGCAGCCACGCCCACCCAATGGGCCACACCCACCCGGCACATTATGATACAGAAGTGGGTTTTGGGTTGCAGTTTGGGCACTCGGTCTCTAAAAGGTTCACCATCACTGTAATAGGTTATCAAGCTTCAACCATGGACCCTTTTTTTAGAGTTATGGCACGGGAATATATGGAATGACAATAATCCAGATTTTCAGATAAATCCATTAAAGCTGCTAATTTGCAAAAGATTTATAGTCTACCTCTGGCCATAGATAACAATGTCTTTGCAATCTGAGCACCTCTGAGCCTTCTACTTCAAGAGTAATATTGTCACTGTTAGTAAAAGATGTTTCACTGTTCGTGCCATAATGCATACAAGCTGGATGGAAGCCCTCAAAATACTCAACAGACTTTTTAAAAAGACAAGAAACCACTTAACTCCCTCCAAACCCTGGAAAAAATGCAAAATCTGGCCCCATATACAGTGCAACCCTGGCCTGTCTGCATTGCTGCCTCCACCACTGAGTTCTCCCTTTGCTCCCTTAATACTTGGTATTAAATATCTCCCAATTTAAGAGATTACATGAAGGGAAGGATGTCTTGCGGATCTCCAAGCTGTGAAATATATTTAAAGCACAGCTGACATATAGATTTGATTAGAGGTATTTTCTCCTTGTTTCCAAAGGTGATGCTAGGCTGGGCTGAGAATAAGTGACTAGCCACAATCAGCTAGTTAGATTCCATCAGAAATTTTTTAAGTTGAACATGTTCTTTAGTGGGGAAACTAGGACATTTTACTGCTGTCTAATATATTGAACATCAGTTTTGTTATATTTAATTTAATTTAATAGATTTAATTCTCATCTGTCCCCTCACTGTTTCTGAGTATCTGATGTTTTCATTGTTTTATTTAACTTAAGTAATTAAATATTTTTCATTTTGGAATATCCTGGAGATATACTGAGTCAAAAATGGTACATTTCTTTGACAGAGTTTTAATTAGTCTTGGCAGAAGAGTAATTAATAACAGTGAACCTTTCTGAGTTTGGCTGGCAGAGACTATGAATGTAAGGTAGAAAAATACTCAGTTGAAAAGCCTGAACATAAGGCTTGTATTACCTATGACTCATTTGAGGCTGGATAATTCTACTGCTTCTGCTGTCTGTCCATGACTAAGAAAAAAAAAAGGACTGTCATCAAGCATCAGGCAGGTCACAAAACACTTTTTTTTATTTGTGTGCCTCCCCAATGGAAAGAAACCCAAAGAATGAGTGCAATATGATTTGATAAAGAGATCTGATAGACTTGAGAACCAGGCATTGTTGAAAAGCAACCTGAGGGCTCCCTAACATAGAAGTGTTGTACAACACGGTGGCAAAGCATATGCTTGACACGCCGAAGATCACAGGTGGAATTCCTTGTACACCCAAATAAGGATGAATCTCAATGGTTTCCTTGGACAGTCCATACAGAAATGATTAGCTGGCAGTGGCATCCACAGGGGATGATAGTGACAACAGCATGCATGTTGTCACTTAAAACTCATGGAGAAAATAAATCTATGTAGTTGCTAGTGGTAAAAAAAAATGTTGGCAAATAATCAATTAACGGTATAATTAATATTCCAATTCTAACTATATGTCTGTGTGTGTATAAATTGTATTTCTCATTATGGAAGAGGCTAGTATCAAATCCTAGTGCTTTTTCCCCTCATTAATATTATTTTTGAGATAAATTTCTACAGCAGCATTTCTTCCATTTTTAAATATTCTCTGCCTGCCTGCCTCTATCTTTTTATCTATCTATCTATCTATCTATCTATCTATCTATCTATCTATCTATCTATCTATCTATCTATCTATCTATCTATCTATCTATCTATCTATCTATCATCTATCTATCTATCTATCTATCTATCTATCTATCTATCTATCTATCTATCTATCTATCTATCTATCTATATCCATCCATCCATCCATCCATCCATCCATCTTAATTTGTCTGAAATTGTATTTTTGTTTGAAATGGTATAGGAGGGGTCCCCAACCCCCGGTCCATGGACCAGGATGCCAGCAATATGCCAGCAATCGGTCCGCACAAACAAGCAAAGCCCCATCCACAAGATGCAGGCAGCACACAAAACCACGCACCCTCCGGTCTGTGGAAAAACCTCTCTCCACGGAACTGGTCCCTGGTGTCTAAAAGGTTGGGGACCTCTGTGGTATAAGGTTTCCTGCCTGAGCAGGGGTTGGGCTAGAAGACCTCCAAGGTCCCTTCCAACTCTGCTACGCTATGCTATGCTATGCTATGCTATGCTATGCTATGCTATTCTATTCTATTCTATTCTATTCTATTCTATTCTATTCTATTCTATTCTGTTCTGTTCTGTTCTGTTCTGTTCTGTTCTGTTCTGTTCTCTCCTCTCTTTAAATTTAGAATCTGCCCAACTTCAAGCAATGTTGAGTGGCTAGTCATCTTAGAAAGTATACACACACAAAAAAGAATGCATAATATCTCATTGGCCTTAATAAAGCAGAAAAAGCACATTTTGTTCCCCTAAATTGTCTTTTGGGGGTGATCTGCTATCAAAGTCACATTCAAAGAAATCATATTTTTCCAAATCAAATAAATACGTAAGTATGTTTCTGTACCAAACATCCTCTGCATCTTCATCGCACTCTGCCCCAAACTGACAAATGTCACAGGTGGATGTTTCCTTTTGAATGGTTTCTCCCGAACCTTCACTGCCTGTGAGAGAAAGACAGAAGTCAAGAAAAAATATTCATGCCTTTCAAAGGGCACAACATCATCATTAATATCCACCTTTGGGGATACAGAAAGTTTTGCAAACACAAATGACAACAGCCATTTCCATGTCCAACTGCAACCTCTGGCTGTGGAATGGAGTAGGCTGGGCAGAGATCCAGATTTGAAAGACAAAATACCATTGGAATTAATGTTGGTTTTCCTGCAGAATCTATAAACAAGTGTAGGAAAAGACTGATAGGTGCTACGTGTTTGGCCATGCAAGGTGTGAATCACAGTTTGACCTTTAGATTCAGATCTCTGCCTAATCTACTTATATCTCTAGATACTGGTTTTTAATGTAGTGTTTGGGTTACACTAATTCAGGCACCTCTGTGTGCAGCTGGGAGTTCTGGCATTCAACAGTTACCAATGTAGAGGAGATAACCTTGAAGAACAGAACATCAGGTTAGCCTTGAAAAGAAGATGGAGAGGAGGAATGAGAAGGAACTCAGAATACTCTGCCTTGATTCTCTTGAGTATAAAAGAGAGAAAGAGAAGCTTTCAAGATTGGTTATTATACCCTGCAACAAAAGAGTTCCAGTAAACTCCTGGAGTCTGTTTCCTAACCTGGCACATCTCACAGAGCTGACCCAACCCATTGAGCAGTGATGGCGAACCTTTTAGAAACTGAGTGCCCCAAAACCGCCCCTGCCCCGACCCCTCACCTGCCCACAGGGCCACCCACCGCCTCCACGGCCCACCACAGATTGCCCAGGCAGCCCAGCAGTGCCATGGCAGCCACGCCTTCCGCCCATACCCCGCAGCATCATCTGCGTGCAACGGGGCACAGTGCAGAGTCTTGTCCCCGCTATCCGGCTGCCATGTCCTTGGCTGCTTGGGGAGATTCTCCTCTGGGGGGGGCTGCTGGTGAGGGGGGCACGGGGCTGGGGTGATGGCACGCATGCCCACAGAGAGGGCTCTGAGTGCCTCACCACTGCCATAGAAAAATGCTACATGTAGAAGCAGAGGAGATTGAACATTTGGTGGATGATGATGGAATCCCCTGGTGCCCGTTCAGCACATTCCGTCAAGATACTGGTAGCTTTGTGTTTTATACTTAATGGAAGCTAATCTGGATCTCTTACTGATGCAAAAGGATGGGGATGCTAGTGAGCCACTTGGAGACATTTGGACTAGACCAGTACAGAGATATCAATGATACATAAAAATAAAATAAAGCACACAACATGGTACTGCATGTGGGTTTTCCCTGGCTCATAGACATACTCCTACTTATCTCTCTAGATGCTGGTTTTTAATGTAGTATCAATCCTGAGTCTTAAGGTGATGCTCATCTTCTTCTCTTTGGTGGCTATTTTTCTCTTTCAGCAATTTTAGATAAAAGAAAGGAGAAGAAATGGCTCTTAAGTCAGATGCTGTATTTATTTCTAAAATTAGGGGAAAACCCATGGGATGTTTGCAAGATGTTCATGCATTATTTATGACAAATTTATATTGTATTGTTTAATTTTTGAGGTATACTTCATTTTAGTTTGCTCACAAATGCTGCCCAGAACTGGCCAGATGGAGATGGTTTATAAATGATGTGATGTAAAACAAACAAAGAGGTCCTTTGAGTTTTAGCTAAACTGTGACATTATTTATCAGCAGGGTAACAGTTCCAATAGAGTTGAACCAGATCCCTAAAGAAGGGCCCATCGACAGTGCTAATATCTGGAGACACCTCCTATAGTGTATTTGATGCTCTCACTTCTGATTTTAACATTTGATTTTTTCCCCCAAGTTCTTAATGTTTAAAATATTTTTAAAATATACTTAATTTTAAATATTTTTTAAAAATATTTTCATTACCTGCCCACACCTTTGCTTCCAAATATGTATCTGGAACTCAGTGTTCTTTTCTGATTAACCTGTACATTTGATCTGGCTCAACTTTAATCACCAGTGTGCCTTCTCTGAAATTGGCATGTTGTGTACTGTGAGAACAAGGATGTGATTTGGTGTTTTGGTCTCAAATCTCATTCTGCGTACTACTCTGTCTCCTGGCAACGATTTTGTTTTTGAATCTAAATCATTTGTCCTTCTACACTGAATTTGGGGTTCAAAAGAGGTTTTTGTAGTTTGGAGCCCAATAACCTCCTTTGGTTTCTTGGAAAAGCCACTTTTCTTTTGGCCTCACCAGTTCAACTGAGAAACAGCCACAGCCACCACGGGAGCCATTTTGTCAAAGCAGCCACAACTTTGTCTCCAAAGTTCAAATGTTCCATCAGCCTCCCAAAGCTGGGTGCCTCTTGGAACACAACCAAATACTGTTGAGCTTCAATTGCTAATAGTTGCTATGAGCTCAGTAGGGACTGTAGCCAGACTGCAAAATAATTTTGGAACCTTTCTTTCTTTGCATTGCTTCTCTCTCTTTTATAAAAAAAAAATAAATCTGTATCCACATATGAATTTCAGCTATACAAAAAGAAAAGACACAGTTCTCTTTATGATGATATTATTAGATCAGAAGCATTTTGTGATTTATTCACTTTCATCTTTAAAATTATGAAAACAGAAATGGATTATAATCTCCTGCACCTAGTTCATATTCATAATTACCAAACTGGACCATGATGTACAAACAATGTAACAGTAAAACAATTCCAATCAACATCCTTAAAAGAGGGCCCCAAAAAGACAATTACTTGGTGATTTTGCGGCATTAAAAGCCATTCCCCCTTTGATCTGGAAGAGGAATCCCTTGTTTTTAGGGAAAACTCAGATCCATATTCAGAGGCCAGATCTAGTTCTGAGGCTTCTAGTTGAAGACATTATGGCACAAGCATGCTGGCATCTTTTGCTACACAACAGGATTAAGATGCTGTTCTGTCAATGGGATACTGGTTATGGCTTGACCTGGGCTGTGAACCTGTTTGTCTACACTTGATTTACAGTACACTGCCTTTCTCTGTATTCATCAGAATTTGAATGAAAACTGTTAAAATGTTATTTTAAAATGTTAGTTTGGACTTTGTTTCCTAAGCGAAATCCATTGTTTCTGAAATCATATAGACAACTGAGGCAATTTATATCATTTGTGTCAATTATATTATTTGAGCAATTATGCAAATGACAATTTTACTCCGTTAATGCCCATTTATATAATTTGTGTCATTATGCAATCTGCAAATGGCAAAAAGTGACACACAAATGACCTAAAAACTTCCAATTATATATTTATGCAAATGACATAAATTATTTGGGATTTAACAGGTATCCAGATTTAACAAAACACCACTTTTCCCAAACAATAGGTTACATCATAGTTTTATTGCATTATTTAAAGGATCATTTTATAGTGCTCTTCGTTTTGTTCAAAGTTCTGCAGTAGTGTCTAATCCATTATATGAATATTATGATCATCAGACCCATCACATGAAATATGTCCAAACAAAAGAGGACAATTGAGGTGACATTATAAGCCAGGTCTTTTTCTGTACTAGCATCCCGATTATGAAATACTTATCTCGATTATGAAATACTTATCCAGAGAATGAGACTTGCCCATTAAGTGGGCAAAAACTTTCTTTTCTTCTGTTATTTTGAGTTTGCTTTTATTCTTTTGCCTGTAAAGTCCTCACTGCAACATTGCTCCACAGTTGATTATTTGGGGCATATATGTTACACAGACACAAATGTAAATACATACAAGTTGAGGGTTCTTGTTATTCAGGGAAGCAATAAAAATGCTTCTACAAATAACAAAAATACAATCTGCTGACAAAACATTGGCAAAACCATGAATTCTTGAAAAATATGTATGGGTACTGTGTACAAGTTAATATGCCTTGAGAAAACAGAAATGTTTTAGTCTTGGCAAGAATATTTGCAGAGGCAGATTCTAAAGGAAGGGCAGTCTACTGTCAGAGGATTCCTGCAAGCCCTCAGCCTCCAAGAAAGCCCTTAAAAAGAGGGCTCTGACAGATACCTTAATGCAGAGATAAGGCTGTTCAGTACAGCAATAACTGTTCTTCCCTATCAAATTATGAGATAAAATTCTATGTCACAGTCTTGAGCTTTCTGCATCAAAATTGTGAGGCATTCTCCCCCAGACCCAAGATTAAATGCCTTGGTCATCAAAACCTTATCAACCTTTGCCTTTGTATACTTGTCAGAAAGTGTATAAAGAAAGAAACTCCTGTATTTTATTTTTGTTCAAAAAAGAAAAAAAATCCTCACACATTTATCTTGCGCTGTATTTCAATCTAACTTTCTTTCTTCTGCCCTTAATATATATCCACTTATAATGTTAGCAAGTAGGTTTTCATCGCTAATTTTAAGCACATTCTCAAGAATGGCAGAATTCAGATTTGCATTCAAAGCACTCGGGATCCCTGATGTATAGTTTGAATACTAAATAGGCACTGTGGAAACAAGCATATTAGTATACAAGTGAAGCATTTCTCCTCTTTTTTTTTTATCAGAAATGACCAGACAGTAAGTTACCACTAGATACAAGCCTGACTGAAGAGAACCCATCTATTCAGCTGACTCTGTGACATTAAATAAAAATAGAACTCTTTATACTGTTATTTATTTATTTATTTATTTACTGCCGTGGTTGGTCTATACAATACTGCCTGGTGATAAAATCTGTTTAAAGTGAATTCTTCCCGTCTCCCCCACTTCCTTTTTCTCCTACTGCGTAGATGAGTGCCTTGATAAAAGCTGACAACCCAGAAAGAGTTATTTTCTCCTGATTTCCTGCTGCTATTTAAACTTCAGGAGGATAAGATGTTCATTTTCTAAGGTGACTAAGGGTTGCTGGTTTTCCTCCCCTCCCACTTTTCCCCCCAGCGTTTTCTAAATTGCCCTTGCTTCTATAGCCTGTCAGAAGAAAGCCTGTCAGAAGAAATGGGGATTAATCCTCACAAGAAAGAAACAGACATGCCAGCGTCCCTAATACATTCAGAAAATCCTACCTACATTTCTACAAA